TGCAACTTAGCATCTTTACATTTCCAAAACATTATTTATCATATTTGAATACATAAGCTTGAGGAATAATTAAATTTTTGGGGGGGAGAAAACTGAAACCCATTTTGTCCCTCTTCTCAAGAATCACTGATTTATAATATACTTAATATACATTCTAAGTCAATCACTAAAATGGTACACTCAAAATATACTAATCAAGTAAGTTTTAGTACATTAAAAACAGTACACTTAAAGTACACTAAGTACTACTTAAGTTTGTCCAAAAAAGTACGTTGAAGTATGCTTAGTACACTTTAAATAGTGCTTAAATACTACTTCAATACACTAAGCACAAAATTAGTATGTCAAAAAAGTCACACTTTAAGTATACTAATTCTAAGTATACTTGAAATATACTCATGATTAGTCCTACTAAAAGTATACTTAAGTGTGTTAAAATTTAACATACTTAGTACATTAATTTTTCACCAGGTCAGACAAAGTCTGGCAGCAGGCTTATCACATATCTTGCTGTTTGTGTTAAAAATGTTTTATTGGTGTTGGACTCTGAATTCTAACTCTATAAGAAAAAGCTTGCGCATGTGTGTGTGTGTGCGAGTATGGGCGTGTGAGTGTGTGTGTGAGTATGGGCGTGTGAGTGTGTGTGTGTGTGTGTGTGTGTGTGTGTAAGTTATGCTGTCAAATTAGACATGGTTGAAAGTGTTGGTGGGTGTTTTCTACTCCTTTTTGTTGGGTCTGACCAGAAGAAGTCTGTCACAGTACAATACTTTGCTTCTCCTTCATTATAAATAAATAAAGAATAAAATTTAATTCCTGCAGTGCGTTGTTTCATGTGAGGAGAGTAAATGTTTAGGTGTTTATCTCTGACCAGTGGTGGGAAGTTAAGTACAAGTACAATTTTCGTGTAGATGTGCTTTACTTAGGTAGATTTAATAATGGATACTTTCTGCTTTTACTCCACTACATTTTACAGTAAGTATCTGTACTTTCTACTTCACTACATTTCTACAAAACCATCGCGTTACTCGTTACATCCAAGTCGCGTTGCTCTTTTTTTCCGTTAAAATGTGAAGTTCAAGGTTTTAAGGTGGCGCCGTAAAATCCAAGCAATGACGTGACTAAGTCTTAGTGTCTGTTGTCACCCATCGCCTCCCCCTTAACTCGCACGCGGGGCTCCAGACATGCGCAGTGGTTTCCTCTGAGCGGGAGAAGATGTCTGTCTGATCGTCAGTAATATAATAGCGCTGCATAAATCATAGATATGGCGACATGTAAAATAAGCCATGTAAGTCATGGCTTATTTTAAAATAAGCAACGCTTCGCTTTCAAGGACGGTGGGGACTTAGTACAACTTTTAGCGTCACTTCGAAAGAAAGCTAAAGAAAGGTAAGCTCCGTGGACGTGATGCTAGCAAAGCTAACTGTACTGAGTCACATGTTGCATCTGCGGTGAAAAAAGTTGTTACTCATGCGCTGAATTATTGTGTGGAGGTGTTGACTGAGGTGTCGCATTTATGGGACAACGCTGTGACCAAAGTGCAATATAGTGATACGACATTCAGGAACGATCCGATTCTTCTGGAGGGATCTTTACTGATTAAATTTATT